CAAATAGGAACAATTTCACTCAAAGTATACCTAGACACAGGAGAACTATTGTCGTGAAAGTGTTGTACAGTCGATTACGAATTTAGATTGCAGAGAGTTTGTTCTGAGCGCTAAAGGCACTCACGATTCTAACACAAATGGTCTCTCATAATCTCACGACTTTCCGCCTCAACAGTAGGAACCAGTTGAGTGGTAGTGGCAAGAGTGTGCTTCAGGACATTCGCTTCCAATCAATCTCCTCTGCTGGGAAGCGTCAAGATTTACTATGGGCAGAAGGCTCATACTCCTCATCACTGGTGAATACAATTTCCGGCAAAGTTCTCATTTCTTTATCAGTGATGGCCTTCACACGGTGATAACACTTGAATCCATCAAAGAATAATGGAAGTGTATGGCCACTAATCACACAACATTGAGTTCCATAGTCACCTCTTGGTGTTAGTGCATCAGATGGGCAATCATCCACAGCATTACCAGCAGCGCAGGCCTGAGCTGGAGGGAGTAAAGATTCATGTTGGTGTAGGTTAGTGTCGTGAAGGACTTCATGGGCTTTACCACAATAGGTGTTGCCGTGTGCATCAATTATCTTGGCAGCAACTGATGACACTGGTAAGACAGTACCAATGTCTTGACCTGCAATAGGCCCTGTGAGTGTGATATGTCTTCCAGTGATACCAATCCTTCTCCAAACGTAGCCTGCCAAGAATTGGTTGGCGCCACTGTTGGTAATCTTCTTGTAGCCCTTGTCAGGTGCTCCACGGCAAGCCACCACAGCACCGTCGTTTAGGACAGGGGGGTCCTTGTCAATGAGAGCTTGTGTTTTACTGTGGGAGCGTAATTGTTCAAGATACTTGTCAATGGAAGCTAACGGGTACTTCACAATGTAACGTCTCATGTCACTGTATGTATCAGAGACAATTGCCTTGAGGAGGAAAACACGGAGAAGCTCACGGCTTGTTGCCAGTGATTGATTACTTTTCCGCAATCTTGTAGTAATAGACTTCCAATTGGAAATAAAATCAGGAACTGTAACTTCGTGAGTCAACTTGATGGAAGTCAACTCGTCAATTGCATACATTACAAAATGGGCCTGATCCTTGGGAGAGTTGTAGGTCTCTAGTAATCATTGGTAACAATTGTAGGCCACAGTTTGTCCCCACTTTTCTTTCACCTCATTGGCAATATGGCTAGCGGTACCATCATTCAGAGCTTTTGCAATTGTGTAGAAACCCTGACTTGATGCATCCTTGTGCCAAGTAGATTGTTCATGGAACTTTGCATCCGTTAGAGCAAGTTCTATACTGGATTGTCCAAATTCCAAAGCAACCTTAGATGTCCAAGGCCAATATACAGTAGATTTGCCACTGAATGGTTTGACCTCTGGACAGCAAAACTTCATGCCTTGATGTTCGCCAATCGTTTTTGTCAAATCAATAGGAGTAGTAGGCATATTTTGTTTTGCTTGGTCAATCGAAAATTGCACAATCTTTTGGTAGGTAAGACTGGGATCAATGACCATGGAAGGGGCAGATGCGTAGAGGAGAAACTTCTTGAGGCGCCCAGTGATGACACCACAAATAGGCCGCCATCTGGGAGGGCATCCTCTCCATGACTGAGTAAGTCATCCACATCGTGTCCTTCAAGATCAGACGGTTTCTCAACACCAATGTGGTCAAAGAAAGTCTGAAGTGCGTCAAACATCGGTTTGGTTGGATTCTCCTTGTTAAAGACAATCTTTGTGATGAGCAACGCCTCCGGTTTGGTGAATTTGTCATGCACCACAGGAGGAAGTGCCGCGGCAACATTTTCATCAACTGTATTGTCAGTTTCCTAAGGATTTTCACCGGGAAAATCAACAGTCTTGCTAGGAGTGACGAAACTATTGTCAGCGGGTGTAGTTGAAGGCATAATATGAGCTTAGTTGGTAGAACTGCGAAGTGTCTAGATGAACGTGATGAATGATGTGATGTATGAGGACATACGGACAGACGATCTAGTAAGTCGTAAGACGACTAACTCGATCCTGACAAACTTTTAAATGCAGCCGTTTTCAGGATGCAAGGTCTTGTGATAATATCCTTATTTTCCACTGGAACGGCCGGGAAATAGATATTTAGCATACAATTCTTGGGAGAAAATATTGATTTTCCCGGCCGTCCCTGGTCGTGATTCGATTTATTGCCTTGGTAATTATTTCCAACGCTCCAACGGAATCATGTGCATTTCAAGATTTCCAAATTGCTTTCCACCTTGTCATCTTACAAAATGATGCGAACTCGTCGGTCATTTGACGTTCGTTTGTTATCTGGGTTGTACTTGGTACATTCGATATAGAGTAAGCTTTCATATTGCTGGATCATGTTTGGTTTTGGGAGAAATTTGAACCAAGCTCCCAGGTTGTAGTTGGTATCTTTGTGCCGGTCCAACTTTTCTTGCTGCCGCTTTCCAGCTTTGTAGCCATTGAGTGATATTTCATTTGGCTCAAGGCCCTCCTTGCGCATTGCGTATGCCACTCTTACTGCAGTGTCTGGTCGAATGGCACGGCCGCAGACGTACAAGAGTCCATTGTATGCAGCAATCAGGTTCTTTTTCGGACGCCTAGAATTTGGAATAGCCCTTGTTCTTGATCTCGATTCATGTTCTATACACGCCATTCGCATTTCTTCCTTCCAGAATTTTAGTGCTTGCTCTAAGTTGCCTCCAAAACAGCGCAAAACCGCATTCACAAACCGGCCATCCGCTGGAATTCCATCGCTTGTAGCATTCCGAAATAGTTTCATTGCAATTGAAGGGTCGACAGATTCGATCTGTGAGGCCGATGCTGCGACCAAGCAGTAACTCTGGGAATTTGGTTTTGGGGCTTCGACTCGCTCCATCATGCCATTCATTGCACTCAAAAGAGTTTGAGCTGCATCGGCACAAGTCAGGCCATCAACAAGTGAAGATATGCCTTTGCCTTCAAGGACATGTCTCTTGGACGAGATCGTGGACTTGATGTCCAAGATACTGTTGCCTTGTTTTGCACCCTCTGATAGAGCCCCAAGAAGAACGTTCCAGACTCGATTATTGTAGGACTGAAATGCAAACTGATCAAAAACTCTGCAAGCCTGCGATGGATCCCCCAGACGACCAAGGTAAGTAATAGCACATCTTATTACGGCAGGACTCAAGGGCGCTGTCGAACCATTCATGAGTTCAATAATCTCATCAGACGAGATACAAAGACTTATCATGGACGAGAGGGTGTATGGGTCCTGTTCCACACCAAATGACACAACCATTCGGCACAATTCTCTTCCCTCTGTGAGCGCAGCCACTTTGATGGGATCCAGATCCAGGCTATCAAAAGTACCGGATGGATTCTCGAGTGTTTTCTGGATCAATGCCAGTTGATCCTTACTTAGGCTAAGTTGTGCAATCTTGCTGTAACCATCAAGAAGGATGTTAAAGTGCCGAGTGCATGGAGACACCGATGAGACTGATGGTTCATCCAAAGCGCATCTGTCGAAAAGGTTTCGCGCGGATTCGATGTTTTCCTGTTGCACTAGAGTGACCAAAAAGGCTGCTAAAGCTTTGCTCTTGTCTCGTTCCGATTTGTCGGTCAGAAACTGATCAACCATACTTTGAAGATCGTCATATCGACCAGCTCGGATCAAATGATTGCTCACCAAATCAATTGTGAAAGCATCGGGAGAGATATTCCTGCTTTCAATTTCCTCGAGTATGTCAAAGCACTCGGCCCTGGATGAAGCCCCGGATGAAGCCTTCAATCGTGCATTGTACGACACAATGTCTGGTTCGACCCCTCTTTGGCCTTTTAAGTCGTGCCAAACCCGCTCCACTAAGGTTGTGTTTCTCACCCTTGCTGCCCCATCGAGCAAAATATTGAAGGATGTCACGTCAGGTGTCACGCGAAACAATCTTTGTGCCACACTGGGCTGCATCCATTCCCAGATGCGAGCAAGAGTAGGATCATTGGGGCTGTCAATCGAGCTGCATAAAGAGGATAGATATATGTTCCAGGCAACAACATCGATGGCAGTGTCCAACTTCGTCCCTAACTCAGCCAAGTCATAGATAAGTCTTTCAAGCTCTTCGAGACGACCAGTCTGCCGCAATGCACTGCAAGCAGCAATGTAAGCTCTGCTCGATGGTAGATACGAAGAGTGTAGCATGTTGGTGAGGATATTTGTTGAAATCGAAACAAGTCCTGCTAAGCTTGTTGCAGTTATAACACGCTCTTGAATTGGGCGGCATTCTTCGTTCACAATATCAATCTTGTTCAAAAGATTTCCAACATGAGAAATCTTATCTTGTGTTTTGGCTTCCAAGAGCATCCTCATAGCATTCAACAATACACAAGAGGCCCTTCTTTCGCTTCCTTCCGTCTGACCATAGTATTCAATAGATTTGACAACGCGATGCAGTCTATCCCTATTCACGCGAAGCCTTGCTAGTCTAGAGCTTTCTTTTCCCTTTCGAGATATAGCATCCAATTGAGAAGTGGTTGGAACGGCAAAGTTTTTGTAAGGGACAAAAGACTTTACTTCCAGAATAACCAGAAAGAGGAAGAGGGCGCAAATGATCGCCCTTGATCGGCTCGAAAGCATCATTTCATTCTTGATTTGCCTTGATGTACCGGAACACACAATATGAAGTAAACTTTGGAAACCATTGGTTGGCACTGCCAGCTGTCACTGCGCTTTCAAAAGATGCAAGTTCCATCTCTTTTTACTCGAAGTGGTCGACGGAGCACGCACCAAAATGAAATGAAAATTCTCGCTGTGTCTCGCAAGTTCAGAGTTCGCCAACCGATGACGTGTGCACAATCGAAAGTTTGGGCGGACGTTTGATATATCACCCTTACGCTATTACCATCTCTGCAGAATTCAGATACAAACAGACATCGACGATGGCAGGAAAAGGACCGCCAGGCACTGGCGAGCAAATGCCGATGTTTCAGACATCTCAACCTGTAAGTTTATTATATTTGTTTCAATCATTGTTGTGCTTGCAATATGCAGGAATCTGATCACCACATGTCATGGTTGGGTCGCCGTTTTACTTCCTACTTCCACTGTTGTAGGACGCGGTATCAAGCGGGAATTTCAATGCACTTGATCTAGATGATCTGTTTGTTGACTGCTATTTTGATGTTCCAGGTATGCCAAATAATGGCGCAGCCAATTCAGCCTCGGCATCTCCGGTTCCAGCAGCTTCACCAGCGAGTGCTGGTGATGCAGCCGGTTCGGGTGGAACACATAAGAGAACAGCTTCCGATGCCGATTTGGACGACGAGGGTGGTACCAAGGAGCTAACAGCAAAGCAAAAGCTAGAAAGGCGTGAAAGAAATAGAGAGCACGCAAAGCGTAGTCGACTTCGAAAGAAGTTCCTTCTTGAAAGTTTGCAGGAGCAGATTCATGCTTTGCAAGAGCAGATGGAGAATTTGAAGGGAGCAATCAAGAAAGAATTACCTCACAAGGCTGACGTAATCATCAACGGTATATGCGGTGACAATGAAAAGTATACACCCCTTCCTATGCCAAGTGGATTTGGCCCAGTCAAGACTCTGATGGAACCAGATTTTCGTCTCATGTCCGCGCTATCCGGATCCCAACAGAACTTTGCCATCAGCGACCCTACTCTTCCAGACAATCCTATCGTCTACGTATCACAGGGTTTCCTGGACCTGACAGGATACACTCTGGACCAAGTTTTGGGAAGAAATTGTAGATTCCTTCAGGGTCCGGGGACCGATCAAAGCGCTGTGGATGTCATCCGAAAGGGAATCAAGGAGGGAATTGACACTTCTGTATGCTTATTGAACTACAAGGCAGATGGAACTCCCTTCTGGAATCAGTTCTTTGTTGCCGCTCTTCGAGATGCTGCAAACAATGTTGTGAACTACGTCGGGGTACAGTGTGAGGTTTCGAAAGCAGTGGTTGAAAAACACATGGGAGAGAAAAAGAAGTAATTATTGTTTGGATTTAAAAGCATATTGTAATTGGAAACAGTAGAATCTAGTAGCTACCTGCAGTGTGGCATCGACGTAGTTAGAAGAGAAAAGTAGCATCAACTGCTCGTGCGGGTTCAACAGATTGTTCATTAACTGCCTGGAACACCCGGCAAATGACGAAAATCCGTACCGCGCGGGGTCGACTGTGGGAATTCTGATGTCTTTCAATTGGCGATCCCTGCCTCTAATATATTTCAGTTTTTAAACAATATCATTTTCACAGAACAACTTTATTTTCGATCTTTTCTGATCCTAATTCTCTAATTAACAACGGGTCATTTGATGGTCGCAAGGTCATTAAGAAACTTCGAATTCCAAATCATATCAATAGACGGAATCCTGAAGTTGGGAGTTATAACTCATTGCGAGGGAATCCTTGAGTAAAAACTCACACGTTTGAGTTATAACTCAAACGTGTGAGTTTTTACTCAAACGTGTGAGTTATAACTCAAACGTGTGAGTTTTTACTCAAACGTGTGAGTTATAACTCAAACGTGTGAGTTATAACTCAAACGTGTGAGTTTTTACTCAAACGTGTGAGTTTTTACTCAAACGTGTGAGATTTTACTCACCGAGCCGAGCTTCCCCCTTTTCCAAAACCGTTGCTGGAAATTCGAGCTGGCGGACCAACGACTACTTTCACCAAAAGATACAGTCCAGTACTTTTCCAGATCCAAACCCTATAAAAGAACTTGTCACGCAACATCATTGGGACAAAAACGAGTTCTACGGCGAGGCAGGAGGTGAAAGGAGAGAGACTTTCAGCCGCTTCCTCACCGACAAGGTCAGAAGAAAGGGTTTTGGTTGGAAAGAATTCGTTGATTTGCTGGATGAACGGGAAGTTGAGTAACTCACACGTTTGAGTTATAACTCACACGTTTGAGTTATAACTCAGACGTACTCACACGTTTGAGTTATAACTCAACGCCGTGAGTTATAACTCAGGATTCCGTTGTGATCTGAGTTATAACTCAGAAAAAGTCACAATGACCAATCGGTCATCTGTGTCCATAAGTCCCTATTTGATAAGACCCCGATCCGCGAATTCCCAACCCAAAATGTGGCAGGAATTTGGAATTCTGGTGACAAAGTAAAAATTTCAAAAAGCAGCTATGGACCTAGAACCTTTTCAGGTCGCTAGAGAATAGTTTGCCCATTCCTTGTAAAAAATTCCAAGTTGCTAGCTAGGAGGTCGTAGAGGTGTGAAAATCTGATGTCTTTTAAGGGTAGGATCAATGTAGTAAAAGCATATATCTATAAAGTGTGTATATATCGTGTCAACAACATCTTGGTTGATACGACATCAGAGGCTACTGTTCGTCCATCCCATCTCCGTGAGGTGACGTACGAACCTCCAATTCATTGAATATTCTCACAAGCTTTAGGCATTCATTCACATGCATTGCTGGCGGGATCGTGTGAGAGCCTTCCTGGATGGCTATCGAAGATAGCCAACTGGCGCCTTCTTTTCGGGTTCTTCTGCTTGGTGTTTTCTTGGAGTGACTCTGGTGGGTTGTGGTGTGAAGCTGGTCCTTTTGAGTTGCGCGCGAAGCGTGTCAGTATACTTGCACACAAGTTCGATATGTGTAGATCGGACTTAGGTTGCTGGTGCAATACTGAGATGACGGTCGCCCTACCGTCGTTCATGGAGTCACTATTGAGTCCATTGGTTCGACCGCTTTCTTCCGTCTACGTTAGAGTATTTACATCGGAATATTCCAACGTAGACCGCAGGCACACTGTTCGATTTCTTTGACTACATTGTGTTACAGACGGACAAAGGCCAAACGGCCTTCGACCGTCAAAAGTTGTTGTCGATGCGCCGAGGCAATGATGCCCAGTTTATCGACTGAGATTGAATTCACCCACTTGTGTCGTGGTAATTCAATTTTTCTCTCCCAAACCTCACCCGCCCTGTTGGGCACCGCCTCCATTTTACCATATCGGCGGTGCCTGGTAGGAAAGCAGATCTCAGTAATACCGCACACGGGATTTCTGAGATTGGTCGAACGAATCGAGTCTATTACTCGATCAGTTCGACCCGCTTCACACCACAACCCACCAGCTACACACCAAGACAAAATACTACGAACACACACACGGAGGACGGCAGTAGGCTATCTTAGATAGAGGGGCTTCACTACAGAAAACAACATTTGTGTAACGGCTAAAAAAGAAACCGTTATCAAGTCGATTGAGTCAATTAGTAAGTCGATTGAGTCAATTCCGATTTTGACTCGTGTGATTACCAAAACGAAAAACAAGAGGTAAGAGGGCGATCTCCTACCATACGACCTTGTTGCGATTACATTTTTAGATAAATTTCCCGGCGATATTATAAATATATACCTAAACTAGACCTCTGCATACTCTAAATTGCGAAAGTGGCTAGATTCGATCACAGGGAAGGAAATTCGACCAAGTCAAAGAGAAACCTTAGGAAAGAGAGAAAAAAATAAGCTAGCCTAGAATCTATTTACCGGCGCAGCACTCCAAAACACCGCCCAAAGTCGATACTAGTTGGTATTTGGACAACTTTGAACTTAGTGCCATGGTGTCTGGGTACTGACTCGGCGACTGAGAAGGATTCCTGACACCAAGTTTCATAAACCTGGATTGACCACTGTAGCAGGGTGATTGCCATTGAATCGCTTGCACGTAGAAATCACCCATTCCAAGCCCCCCAATCTCATCATACATACCCATGGACGACAACTGTATGTTGGAATGAAGAATTCTGAGGAAATTCGGTCCACACCAATACCATTTCCCATTTTGGACCGAATTTCACTGAAAACTCTTCCCATTTTTGTTAGATCATTCTTGATCTAGGCCGAAAAAATGTAAAGAAACCAGAAAATAGAAACAATAGGTATCCAAGGGACCTTCTGGTGTATTGTTGAATGTATAGTTGTCTCCAGGGCGGCCACACCGACCCTCATGATGACAGGTGACACGACAGCAGCAAACATTCGGATTCAAAAATCTCAGCCAATATTCCATAGAAAAAGCAACCGAATGGATCTCCGAGTAGGTATGGTCACTGCGAAGCTTTCCAGCACATGTTGCATATGAGGCCTTGCCCTCTTGACCTTCTGCTGACCAGATTAAGCAACCCAACAGAACATGTTTGGCGAATTTTGGTAGATTGTAGTGTAATGGAGGCGAAAGGAATAGTGAATCGCCGCTCCAGCCATAGTCCATCTATCAAACATGCTTGCCATAACATGTTATTCAGTTTTTACTTCTCTGGGCGCCCACACCGGCTACCCATTGTGATGGACGAATTCCCAACTCAATATTGTCGTGTGAAAATCGTCCTGTAGGAGCCCAGATACCGCACATCAAATGATACCACCGTCTTTCCTATAACATAATAAGCAACTTCCGAAGAAAATTTGACATCTTTACTGCCTTGCGACTGCGTGGGGTCCCAAATCCATGCAAAAACCGAATTTCAGACCTCGTTTGTGTGTCTTTTGCAGTCATTTCAGAGGTGAAAGGAGCAAACTCGTCCATTTCACGTCATACAAACAAGATAGATTCGGTCACGATAAAGGCCGCTTCCAAAATGCAAGAGTTTTCCTCCCGAGGGTGATGATTTCCTCGGCCTGAAGGCATACCATTGTTGGTGGAAAGAAGAATTGATGTGATTGAAGGCGATCTCAACGGAAGGGCGCATAGAGGTGCGCGAAGAGTTCGACGTCTGATGACGTACGGAAAATACCAGTGCGTAGAACCAAAATGGAACCCAAAAACATCCGAGATTTCTGTTTTTTCCAAAACCACATCAAATTCACGTTCCTTGAAAGCAGAAGCAGAATGGGATTTTAATCTTGCTACTGCACTGCTTAGCCTACAAAAAGGAATGTAATTCATTGGATCTATTACCAAGCCTACGCAACGTTGCCTACATATTCTTCCAATTCATCCCAGTCTCTACTCACCGGCACACAAGCACCGTCTTCGCCGTCCTCGTCAACATCATCTTCAAAAGATTCAATTTCTTTCATGAAGTCCATCGCATACAACACCTGTTCTTGGTTCAGTTCTACGCGATCCGTCCGGTTGCCTTCGAAGTAAACCTCGCCATCAAACTCGACAATATAGTTCGCAGTGTTGACGGTTTTGCCATCTTCTTTCACGAGGTTAACATCCACCACTCGACCAACAGCCGGCTTGTTGTCATCAACTGCCACAGCAACTCGGATACAAAGGTAGCTCTCCAACATAACAATCAGCTGATGTTCGACCTCTTCCGCCTCCCTCTTTTCATTCTCTCTTCCACGGATCAAATCCTCAAAATCTCTGCTCTGAGCTTCAATGATTCAATGAAAAATTCGGCAGGAAGCTCCACGTCTTTGCCATTTGTCTGGATCAATAATTTCAGAGCCTCCGCCTCTGATTCTTCTCTGATACATTGGACCGTTTTGGCATTCTCCACCTTCATTTCGCTCTTGATTGCCGCCAATTCAGCTTGGAGTTTTTCGTCAGCTTCGACTTGAGCGTCTTCTGCTGTGGTCTGTTGGATTTTCCCGACGGTGTCATCGTAGGTTGTCCTTTTTGGGCGGCCGCTTTTGTGTGGTGTGACAGTAGGCATGCAGTATTCGAGGCCGTTGATTGATTTCTTCCTGATTCTTGTAGATGTAGCAACAGTGTGGGCTTGGCATTGTTTGTCGTTTGGCAAATCTGGCCGAGGAGGAGCTTTACAACGTTTACACGAGTCACAGGCCGTACACCACTGCTTTCCACTTGCATGGGTACAAAGGTACACTCTTTTCTTCTTGTGATGGGACCGTGGAGGTGTCTCCTTGGCGTTCCTCTTTCCACGTCGCGTTGCCATCGTGAATGATGATGACGAGTCATGAATTTCATCCTCCCTCAGTCAAAAATTGGCGCGAATTAGTTTCAAGCATAGGGCTGATATCCTCAGCCCAATGCGCTTCTATCTGTCCAATCGGCGTCGTTATGCGACGTCTTCTCAAAATGACCATTTTGGATCTCTATGGTGCTATTTTTTTGGAAAATGCCAAAATTTGGGTGGAAAGGGTGGGAAATTCGCGGATCGGGGTCATAAATCATCACATATAATAATATGTCATTAATAGTTAAAGGGAAATAACATAGATTTTTCGAAGCTAAAAATATAATTTTATTTCTCCGGGCACGAGCACGTCAAACTTTGCGATCAGTGTCCCGAAAATACTCGGTCTGAACATTTGCCGGGTGTTCCTGATGTTTTCTTTTTTGGCAGATCGATTCATTCACTGACGTACGTGATTGGACGCCCACAGTAGTGATCGGATGAATCTTGGATACGATGCAGTATGATTGGTGATTGAACATCGGACATCGGAGGTTGCCAACCCATCAATTTTGCAGTCGTTGGATCTATTTTTGTCTCCATTACATCACCAACCGAACAATCATGATGCGTCCAAAGTTGCTTCTTTCAACTCTGTTGTTGATCGCATTGTTCGCAGCACTTCCTTCATCATTTGCAGAATCAAGAAATGGCCTGCAATATAGCGCTGCAACCTCCACCAAGGCTATCATTTCCAACAAGACACCACCTACATCTTCATTTGCTATTGAACAAGCCGTCTCTCACCGTGGAGGAAACAGCGGTCAAAGAGATTCTCTCACTGGAGCAGTTATCATGACTCTAGTGGAACGAGTTACAAATAGAGTTTTGAAGTCCCAGGGTATTAGCTTCCCCTCCATGTTGGGTGGATGCATTGCACTTTTAGGTTTCATGCTGGCAGCAGAGTTCATCAGCCCTGGAGTTGGGGATTCCATGTTCTCCAGCCTCAGCCCAGGTTCAGCTCTGCTAGCGAAATGGCTGCCCGTTTTCTTTGTCCCAGGGTTGGCAATGCTTCCACTTGCACCATCCGTTGGGTCAGGTTTCGAGGTGCGGATATCGCACACAATATGCGTCGCATCCAACATTGTGAATCTCACTCTTCGCTTATATATATAGGTGGCAAAAGTCCTTGCTGTAGTTATAATTGGATGGGCATACTCCATTTCAACAGTCACTTATCCCGTCTTGTTCTTGAGATTGTCTCAAGGAGCGTCCAACAAGAAAGCTGCTCCTGCACCGGTCAAGAAGCTAAAGAAAAAGACAGCACCAGCTGCTGCTCCAGTAAAACCATTCGCAGATGAAACTCTGTCTGGACTTTTGAAGGGAAGTGTTGCCACAGCCATCCTGAGTTTTGCCGCCACAAAGATGGGAAATGACTTGGCGACTCCACTTCAAAGCATCTTCCTTGGCATATCCACTTTTGCAACCTACGTGTGGGCGGCCCGTCTCCCATCAAGTTTCAATGCTTTCATTCACCCATTGATTACTTCAACTATTTTGACACTGGGCGTTATTTGTGCCACTGGGCTAGCAACCGGGTTTTCTTTCATCAATGTTCTTAAAACATACAAGACTGGTACTTTGGACTTGATGAAGACAGGCGCCGGAGATGTTCTGCTGTTCCTATTAGGTCCTTCTGTTGTCTCGTTCGCTGTCGCTATTTATGGTCGCAAGAAGCTCTTGAAGGAAAACTTTCTGATTGTGATGATCGGTATGTTGATTTCCAGTGGTGGTGGTCTATTTGGAACAGCTGCGTTTGTCCGATTGATTCAGCTAGGAGGAAAGACTGGAGCTTTGGTGCGCCTCTCGGTTCTTTCAAGAAACGTTACTACTGCACTATCGATGGCCATCGCGGGTATGCTTGGCGGAGACGTCTCAATTGCCGCAAGTGTGGTTGTTTTAACTGGGATTTTTGGAGCAACCTGTGCGAGAAGAACGCTTGATGCGCTTGGAATTACCGACCCCATCACTCGAGGATTGGCAACCGGCGCATCATCGCAAGGACTTGGTGTCGCAACTCTAGTGAATGAACCTGATGCATTCCCCTTTGCAGCAATGGGAATGGTGCTGACTGCAGTGGTGGCGACTTGTTTGGTCTCAATCCCAGCTGTCAAGGACGCTCTAATCAAACTAAGTGGGGGGGCCTAGGTTGCGAGTACAACTATATTGGGATATTTCCGTTCCCATTATCGCTAAAATGTATAAAATCATTCGGTTTGGTATTTGGATATCTCGCCTGTAGATTCCAATCAACTACATCAAGCGTGTTGCTTTCCGTTTCAAGCAAAATGAGATTATGGCATGTTTCGCGAAGAAATGCGGCAATTGTGTATCGGTCATATAAGATATGGCCATTTGCATTCCATTGCAAAGGAGTTCGTTCTCCAAATAGACCTGCTGAATCGGTTTCAATATTGTCGAGATGAATCTGAATTTATGAGAATGCGATAGATCTAATTATCCATCTTGTGACTTTTGCCCCATCCATAGCATGACCATTTGCTCTGCAAGTATATCCATCCTTTCTACTAATTTGTCCTTGCAATTCAACAGTTCCTTTTCATATGCTTCCAACGAATTCCACTGGTCATCCTCATCGACAAATGAATCCAACTGTGCCTTGTTCCGTTCTTCCAAAGCTTCAATCAATGAGAGCTGTTCTTGCAATCTCTCCAGCTCCGCTTCAACGCCTGATTGCTGTCCAGTACCTTCACCTTCTACTGCGTCGGCTTGATATAGAGCGAAATTGCGTCTATATCGTGCTTTGGTTTCTCGATAGCTCGACGTCAACGGATTGGAATCTAACGTGGCTGTCTTGCGATGCCCAGTGATGGACTCCACTATGTATATGTAGCTGCTTGTAGAGCTCAAGAGGGAAACGGGTAAGATGAACATCATATTCAATACCGCAGCAGCTGTGGAAGTTGATTCAGTGCGGTGATTCCTCCAGATTTTTGTTGCTTGGAATAGGTAGTAGTCGACCCAATCAAACAGACAATAAACTGACGTCAGCATCGGATTTATTTTGTGATATCTCAAGATTACCGAGACTCTAGATGGCAACATTGAATTCTCCATAGTTTACCTACAGTAATAGGCTGTTTGAATATTCAATCTGCTGTCTACTCGGGTTGGCTATTGAAGAATGAAAGTCCTCTCATTGCTGTGGCTGTCAACGGTATCCGCATTTACAGTACATAAAGGGTTTGCAAGCGCCAACGTCCGCAACCATGTGCAAGCGATCACATCCCGACCACATACGAGAAATCATCGAATTGTCAACCCTTTGGATACCAGAGGGTCGCCCACAGTCCGTGCATTGACAATTGCTAAAGCTTCCAACGATGGACAAATTAACGGAATTGCTAAAGTTTCACCACCTACCCCGACTATCATGTCCGCATTTCTCCTTCTGGCTTTGGATGTTGGATTTCGTCGACTATTCCAAAAGCTTGCAATCTCTTTTCCATCTTCGCTCGGTGGGTGTTGCGCCCTTTTCATCAGTCTCTTGACGCTACCTGGGGGAGAAAAAATGTTCAAAATCCTTAGTCCTGGTGCAGCATTGCTGGCAAAGTGGCTTCCCGTATTCTTTGTACCCAGTTTGGTGACTTTGCCTCTGGTCGGCAATGTTGGACCTATGTCTGAGGTCCGTCAAACAGTGTCAGCCTGGTCTCATCTGTTTGTGATATAATTGTCACTTACTCTTTTCTCTGTCTACTAGATTCTGAAGATTTTTGCGGTTGTCGTTGGCGGATTCTTTTTCACGCTGCTATCGACAGCTGGTTCGGTAGTTGGAATTCGCAAGATTCTTTCGCCGGATGCCATTACGAATGGTGCTGACGAAGGGAGCGAGAACGCAACTTTGATAACGGAGGCTCCAAAGATACCGCCAAAAGCATTTTCAGACGAAACGACTATTCGTCTTCGCTTGGCTTCGATCGCGACGGGAGTTGCGGCAATTGCTAGCAACAGGTTGAGTTCTTCTTTCGCGACCCCAATTCGTGCATTGTTCCTTCTATCTGCTACGTTGCACAACTATGTCTTTGGAGCGCGATTACCAAGAAGTTTCAGTAAAGTTGTGCACCCCTTGGTAACTTGTACAGCACTGACTTGGGCAACAGCAACAGCATTTGCATCGGTTACTGGATCAACCTTTGTTTCCATGCTCCGTGGCTACAAGACGGGAACATTGACACCGCTGAACTGCGGAGCTGGAGATGTTCTTTTATTTTTATTGGGGCCGGCAGTTGTGTCACTCGCGATCTCCATGTACGATCGGAGAAAGTTAATGCGAGAGAACTTGACCGAGGTCGTCACTGCAATTTCGGTAGGCTCTTTGGGCGGGTTATTTGGAACTGCTGCAGTGGCTCGACTGTTAAGCATTGCTAGTCCCTCTGTTCGCCTTTCACTGCTATCTAGGAACATCACCAGTCCATTGGCCATGGCAATTGCAGGGATCCTGGGGGGAGATGTGTCACTGGCAGTTGCCATGGTTGTTGTTACCGGCTTGATTGGTGCCAACTTTGGGGCTAGCATTTTGGATGCAGTCGGTATCAAGGATTCTGTTGCAAGAGGACTTGGAATTGGCACTGCCGCTCACGGCTTGGGGACAGCTGCCATTGTCAACGAAAAGGACGCCTTCCCCTTCAGTGCCATTGCCATGGCTTTGACAGCCTCGGCATGCACTTGTCTGGTTTCAATTCCAGCTCTCAAAAGACTGCTAATACAGCTAGCTCTAGGGGTATAATATAGATTAGTCTTGTAAGAAACATGACATTTATATCTAACTTATTGCACCAACCTCTTGTTGTATTTACTTTCATGGACTTTTTGATAGCGCTAAATTTTCCGTGGAAATGCTCCACATCTGTAATAATTATCTGCTCTATTTCCAAAAATATTTCCCAATTTGATGGACTCTTGATGGAACATGGGAAGCGAGTTTGTGACACCGGCATGGGAGAAAACGTACAGTATTTTATATATGCTTCTTCAAAAGCCGCACCAATTCTGCGTGAAGAAATGATTGCTTGAAAGTCTACTGGACGCAGCAGCCAATCATATTCATGAGTCAAGGATTCACTGTGGCTGCCTTGATATCATTTACCGTTTCATTAAAAATCAAGCAATGGCTCCACTAGGACTAGAGGAAAACCAAATCGAACTTTAATTGTGTCACTTTGACTTTGTGTTATCTCAGCATTGTCGAGCCTTTGGTCTAAGACTATACAATTACCATCGCCCAATCTTCTACCCAAAGTTGAAACCAAACCCAAATTGCACATTCCGTCTTGCATCTCTGGGACCATAACGCAATGGCCAAGCATAGGTCACCTCCAGCTTTCCCATGGGTGTCGACGCTGCCACACCTGCACCAACCGAAGTTCTGGTACTATTAACAATCGCTTGCAATGGAATCCCATCCGTGGTTCCCACCAAAGTCCCAGCATTAGCAAACCCAAACATCTGGATACCATAATTACGGAAAATACCGGGTGGTGAAGTCGAGGCAGAAACGGACGCTGTGTAATATAGACTTCCACCCAAACTATCCCCATCGGGAGAAGTGGATCCTCCCTTTTTGGTCCGTGGTCCAATTCCTGCCGGGAGGAAACCTCGAAGTTGCATAGGTCCGCCCACAAAAAATCGATCGGAAATGGTAGCTGGTTTGCAGGCACCATCGTAGGACAATGGCTTCAAGTATCCTCCCGACCATGAACCGTGTAGTGCCAATCTTTCTCCAATCTCTCCCAAAATGGGCAAATGCAATGCTGCACCTCCTTGGGCTTTTGCAAAGCCAATGTCACCAGGCGGTCCCGCCAATTCCACCTTGGTAAACCAATCCATCCCAGCCGTGGGCAATAATCTATTGTTACAAAGTTCACCATTGGTCCTCAGCTCGTACGTCAATGAGTGTTTCAGAGAGGTCCCCGAGGAAGCCACAATTTCGGGAGACGCATCCGCTGCATAGGGCAATTTGGCATGCTTGCGTGGAACAATATCGCGGAGCGCCAAAGACCAATCCAACCCCCAATAATATCCCGGAATCATGTTTGGCCGTTGCACATTGCCCCGATTGTCAACCCGGCAAGACAAATATCTTTGATATTCCTTGTAGGAGCGAGTCCACTCGTAATCGGCCGTGTCCAAGACAGCTCTCATGCCCAACGAGTATTGGGATCCCTTGGGCAAAGCCAAGATATATTCTCCCAGTGCGGTATCGTCTCCCAACCAGGCATACAATGGCCGTTCATGGCTCAATAAGAAGCTGGAGGTGGAGGTTTGATCGACGGTGTATTGGAACCTGGTGGAATCCAAAAATCCAGTAAGATTGGGCAGGCTCGCACTGACTTCAAATTGAGCCTTGGGTAGTTTGGTCCCATTGTTGTTGAGACCTTCTTCCAAGCCTTCATGCTTGAATCCACCACCAATATACAAGGAATACCAATTCTTTTCGTCTAACTGTACCTCTAGTTGATGCGGATATTCTTTACTGGAGGACTCGTCTTCATTCTTGGTAACTTCCAAATGAACCAAATGAAAACATTTCGTCTTCTCAAGATTATCTACCACTTGTGCCACTCCCAGTTGAATTTGAGGCAAGGACTGCGAATCTTCAAAGAGTAGTCCATTTTCCAACAATCGAGCATTGATGAGATCCTTGTTCGTTTTGAGTTTTTTGGATGGGTCTTTTGGTTTCACAACAGCTGGAAAGAGAATATTGAGGCCGTAGCTATTGACAAATTCAGCCCATTGCATTTCTTGACGTTGGCGGGCTCGTTCTTCCATGGCTGCGTTGACTTGATGACGAACGTCCATTGTGTTTGTTTGTGTGTTTGTGGATGCTGGGGCTATGATGATGATGATGATCGTGCTGGTAGACCTTCCAATGGATGTGTGTCTACGTGAGATCAGGAGACTACAATTCTCTTGTGGTGCAAGTATAATAGATGCTTTTGTGGTATATAGTAAAAACTGTGCGGTATTTGTTTGTCAGCCTTGTTCAATAGTCCAGCAACATGACGGGTTGGATCTAGCGTTGAATGAGTGGTTGGACTACAATTTTCGGGGAAGGGAGGATGCAAAAGTCCGGGGGAGTTTTACATTTTTAGGAGAGAACAAAGCTCGCCTCTCCGTAAGCTTCAATCTTTCTATCAATGGGAATTTGTCAAACAGCCAACGATGATATCAAAAATGACAAGTATACGGCGATTATTCTACTTCCGCATTTTAGCAAGCTCGGTGAGCAATTGGAGAGCCTCTCAGTAGGTTTGCATGGCCGTGGTCTACTGGAGCGAGTAGATGGCCACAAGAAGAAATGCTCGGCACCAATGCTGGTGGTCGATGACTCAATTTCCAAAACTATTTCGAAAGCCCATTCAAATCTCTTCATGGTGCCATGCCTAGAAATTCTTTTTACCTAAGGATTTGGTAGATGCCGGTGTCGCTCACCCATTCGTCCACCGGTATCAATCAGCATTCGCATGTAACTGGAAACCGTGGTTGCACCTGAGTGTTACTGTTTCAGGTGCTCATAGAACTCGTCTAGGAGGAGTCATTCCCGTGAGCGCAATTCGAATGGTGTTGATAAAATAGTGCCATACTTAATCAATCTCCTTACCTGAAGAAAAATCTCCGTACTGGTTTAGACCATGGAATCTTCTTCCGTTAGAATCGTCATACTCCAGCTGTAGCAAAAAATTCTTCTTGAATTGCTTGTACCTTATTTCGCATTCTTCTTTCTGATTATGGTGTAGCCACTTTTCATACTCTTCACGAACAAAGTTGTCGTCTATCCCTATTGAATCCATCTCGACCGATCGTTTGTCCACGAAACTATCCAGCATGTCGTTATTATCAAATTCAAGACCATTGGAGTGGAAGGAAGTTGATACTTCTTTTCTGTATTTGCTTGTTTGAAATGCCATAGAGAATGGTAGAAGAAGAACCGCTAATATTACAACGGAGATGTACTGGTAAACGTACTGCTTCATGTTGTTCCAACAAACTACAGTATGATACTTATTTGCTGGTCGATGCTGTCACAAAATTCAAATTTTCTAAATTTTTCGCATCAGCACAACGCGAGTTTCGAGGTTCGATGACGTCATAAAAATGACACAATCCACGATTATATATTATTATCATTCAGCAGAACTTTGGATACAAACTGAGAGTGTCACAAAATCTTCAGTCCAAGTCGCTGACTCAGATGACTAAAAGCGTCTGACCCTCTATCTGAACGCAATTCACTTCAGCTCACATCATACCAACTCATCAACCTTTCAACCACATCAATTCATCTCGAAATGTTTCATCCACGACAGCGATTCATAGCTATACTCTTACTTGCGTGGATTAGCGCCCCGACCCATGCATGGGTTTTGCCTCCAGTGCCACAAAAGCACACGAACCCAACATTTCTCACACTAGTTTCACACAGAAGAAGCAATCAACAAGTCTCTTCTACATCACTCTATGGTTGGCTAGATGGTTTAAACCCGGTCGAATCGAAAATTCCAGAAGATGTAAAAGATGAAATTTATCGCGCAGAAGCTAACACCCCTGCTGCCAAAGAACGCGGACAGCGGGTTGCTTTTCTTGCCCTCTTGGCATTTACTGGAATCCTTTGCGCTTTCTTCAATGGATTCTTGACCGAAATTAGGGCCGCTAGTCCTGATGGAAGTCCTGGAGTGAACTTGG